CCTACCGACTTACGATCACGTTTTGAGTCCCTTCTGAGTGCGGGTCACGTCAAATCAGTTAGTTCTGCAAGGAGATAGTTTGCCACGGTAGTTTTACCCCACTCTCTTGCAAGAGAGTTGTTAAAAGCTGAATTACTAATCACTAGATACAAAGTTTTGCCCTTAGTCGTTATTTGCTCCCCTTCAGCACACAATTCTATTCCGTGTCGGACCATGCATATTTGGTCAAATATAACTGAGTTTGCTTTGGTTATAAGATTACAAATGTCACGAAAACACGTCTTTGGCATGTGTATCAAGTCCAAGAAAATGCTTTATATTTGTACAATACACAATGAAAACCAGAAACCAATCATTTCACATTTTTCCTGCTATTGGTGCTGGATTCACTTGTGTTATTTTTACCGGTAGATTTGGGTCAAAATGCTGCTCAGTTCGATTTTTATGATGAGCCGGAGTGAATAGCTTGGGTTTAGCTCTGTGGGAGGTCCTTGGAGTTGTGGTACTAATATGCTCTCCAAAAGACTCTTACTAAACTCAACAACGTAGGTATTCAAAACCAGCCTGAGAACTTTCAGCACCCGCCAGCGGCCTTCTCTAAGGGAAAAAGGTACATTCCATTGTGATCAACCTTTTCAGTCGAAACATATAAATGCCTCTGAATAGTGTAGAACCATCACAGAGGGGGCGTTGGGATTTTCGGTTTTGCGGATTTGGCCAATTTTTGGTTCGGTTTTTCGGTTTTGGTGTCTTGTGCGGTTTGCGGGTTTTCTCCAATTTAGTTTTTGGTTTTCGGTTTTTGTCAGCAATGATGGCAGTTTTTCGAATTTTCCTGCCCAATACATTTTACGGTTTTTCTGGTTTTGCCAAGGAAGTTACACCCCGCAGTCGCGCTAAAACTGTAATTCCAAGGGACCACTTACAGTTAGAGGAATGCATGACAAGCCTAGTCTCTAAGTCTTTAGCAGCCGTTACTTGGGTCGTAACGGCTGCCAAGCAGACTACGAAAAGCTAAAGATAACATCAAAGTAAAAGAATATTTCTCAAATATCACGCAGCTGGGATAACATCTTGTGGACTTTGACCTTAGACTGTGGACCATCGAGTTTCTATGGCTCAATTGCGAGTTGTCTCCCCTTTTCGTCGCAGGAATAACATTGCCCTCACTCGCTCTGTTCACCTGGAATAAAAGCAAAGGAGAGTAGTATGGTTGTAAAATGGAGCTGTCATTGTGCCTACACAAATGAAAATTCTGACTATGGCAATCAAAAAGTAACTTCAGAATGTGATGTTTCTTTCAAACAAAATTCACCTAAAATCATTTTATCGTGCAATTTGTTTCTAGTTTCACACTGCTATATGTCTGTGGAGCCGATTTACACAAAATAGTACTTTTTTAGACTACGATGTGTTCCCCATCAACGAGGGAATAAGCAGAAAGAACTACGGAAAGTAAAACAAATTTAGATGTATAAAACTTAAATAACAAAAAGACTGATTCTGAAGACTACCAAAGCTTTGTTTGTGGGGGCTTTTATTTCGGTTTTCGGTTTTGAACGACATTTTTCTCGGTTTTGCGGTTTTGCGGTTTTGCGGTTTTTGGCGATTTTTTGCGCGGTTTTTCGGTTTCTAATAGGCCCCTACGCCCCCCTCATCACATGTCACGTATGTGGAAGTCTTAACTCCTTACATTCTGTTTGGATTCTAGGCAGCTGAAGGACGTAACGCGCTTTCTGAAAATGAACGTGACTCCATCAAAGTGTTCGACCCGGAGTCGCCAGTGTTCTTGGCATGTGTTATAGCACTGTCCATATTCTTGATTTTTTGCCTTGTTGGTTGTGGTATGGGCATCTTCTTAACCAAGTATCTCAACAGAGAGAAGATGGACATTAACGCAGCTCACAAGAATTCCGGTGAGTTAGAACACAAGACTAAAATAATTAAATTGCACTCCAACTCATCTCTCAAAACAATTTTCTTTTCGTATATTTTTACAGTGACGGGATATCAAGAAGTTGAAATGACGTCAGCTTCCATTTCTAGAGAAGGACAAAAACAAGCGGAAATTTAGTGGCGGTTGAAAAGCATGATGAGATGTTCTACCAGGACCAAGCTTAATTATAATATTTGCCTTATTAGCATGAGGGATACATTTTCCAATGGAGCTCCAAGATATTAGTTCTGAATATTGAAAAGGCAAAGCACGATTAACTGTCAAAGGAATTTGAGACCGATGTATTGAAAACTTTTTGCGCGACGTGGGTTTAAAAACTCAAAATTTCACAAACAATGTATGAGCTCATTAACGCTTTTGCCACACAGAAATTTTGCACTTTTTGAAAGTCAATTTCTCCTCGAATATTACACCCAAATATCCAAACATTTTACCCGGTACTAAGTTTTACAAGCTCTTTAAACGTTTGTAGCAGGAGCCATAATCGGGGACGGAGACCGTAAGTCTTGTGATCTGCGCGCACCTATGATATGGGACAATTTTTCTATTTTTAGAACAAATTGCGCCACCATGACGACATATATCCGCGCGAATCCACGCACATGTCGGGGGTTCTCGCGTGGATGTTGTCACGTTCCGTGATCAAATGGTGAGAGTTGCGAGATTCTCTTGCAGATTTTTCACAGCGATGGCAGGGAATAAGGCAATGAATAAGATCCAGGGCTCTTACATATAGGTTTGTGCTCTGAGCTGATGGAAAAGGTGAGTTTTTCAGGGTCGAAAACAAGACTTCAATTTCGCGCTGTGAATG